TCGGGATAAAAGGGTTTAGATCATATTTGGGGTTTGAATCACTATAATATTTGTCGTAAAAAAAAAGAAGTTGGTTCTTATTAATTTTATTAATATGTAAAGAATCACAAAACCTAATTAGGATAAGTAAATACAAAATTCCATTGAATAATAGTGAGAGGGCGCCACTGCGGTCGTAAAAGGTCTGATCGATTTGCAACTGCAGGTGATCTTAAGAATAAATAGCAGGAGACGGTTGACGGACGTCCACACATCGGGCTCGTTCGGAATCTAGACGCGAGGGGATCCAGTACTGTTAGGTAGTCCTAGGGATAGCTTTATTTGGTTTAGACTCGGTGTGGTTGGTTCAAGGGTTTCGTCAGTCTGATGTTCTACTTTAAGAAAACGGACAGCACGTGCGAGTAGTGTGGCTTTCCTATGACTAAAAAAACTTAGTTTTTTCTTCAGTAGAACCAGTGCTGACAGAAACATAACGCGGCCCTGATTCAGATATCTCTTATCGATAATTTTTCATGGATTCAAACTTTGAACCATGCTTGCATTGTCAGAAAAAAAAATTACAGTGGCTATCTGTACTTTACACTGAGTTTCAACTATAATATCTCGTGAATGTAATATACCAGCTGATGTTATCTGGTATCTCGTGAGCGTAATATACCCGCTAGTGTTATCTAATAACTCGTGAGTGTAATATACCAGCTAGTGTTATCTGGTATCTCGTGAGTGTAATATACCTGCTGGTGATATCTCGTAGCTCGTGAGTGTAATTTACCAGCTGATGTTATCTGGTATCTCGTGAGTGTAATATATCAGCTAGTGTTATCTGGTATCTCGTGAATGTAATATACCAGCTGATGTTATCTGGTATCTCGTGAATGTAATATATCAGCTAGTGTTATCTGGTATCTCGTGAGCGTAATTTACCGCCTGGTGTTATCTGGCATCTCATGAGTGTAATATACCACTTGGTGTTATTTAATAACTCATGAGTGTAATATATCAGCTGGTGTTATCTTCTAATCCGTGAGTGTAATATACCAGGTCGTCTTATCTGGTATCTCGTGAGTGTAATTTACCAGCTGGTGTTATCTGGTATCTCGTAAGTGTAATATACCAGCTAGTGTTATCTGGTAACCGTGAGTTTAATTTACCAGCTAGTGTTATCTTGTAACTGTGAGTGTAATATACCATCTAGTGTTATTTGGTAACCGTGAGTGTAATATACCAGCTAATGTTATCTGATAACCGTGAATGTAATATACCAGCTAGTGTTATCTTGTAACCGTGAGTGTAATATACCAGCTAGTGTTATCTGGTAACTGTGAGTGTAATATACCAGCTAGTGTTATCTTATAACCGTGAGTGTAATATACCAGCTAGTGTTATCTGGTAACCGTGAATGTAATTTACCAGCTAGTGTTTTCTGGTAACCGTGAATGTAATATACCAGCTAGTGTTATCTGGTAACCGTGAATGTAATTTACCAGCTAGTGTTATCTGGTAGCCGTGAGTGTAATATACCGACTGGTGTTATCTGGTAACAGTGAATGTAATTTACCAGCTAGTGTTTTCTGGTAACCGTGAATGTAATATACCAGCTAGTGTTATCTGGTAACCGTGAATGTAATTTACCAGCTAGTGTTATCTGGTAACCGTGAATGTAATTTACCAGCTAGTGTTATCTTGTAACCGTGAGTGTAATATACCAGCTAGTGTTATCTGGTAACCGTGAGTGTAATATACCAGCTAGTGTTATCTTATAACCGTGAGTGTAATATACCAGCTAGTGTTATCTGGTAACCGTGAATGTAATTTACCAGCTAGTGTTTTCTGGTAACCGTGAATGTAATATACCAGCTAGTGTTTTCTGGTAACCGTGAATGTAATATACCAGCTAGTGTTATCTGGTAACCGTGAATGTAATATACCAGCTAGTGTTATCTGGTAACCGTGAGTGTAATATACTGACTGGTGTTATTAAGAACTATGTTTTCATCATCAGTAGTCATCACTTTGAAAAGACTTCTTTTGGCGCTGACATTTAGAGGTAAGTTTTCTCCACTTCTTAAAAATGGTCACGTTTTTAAAATGTTTATTTTAAAAGTTTTATCATCATAGGGTAAGAAAAGAAGTGTTTTCTTCAATTCCTTTTAATTAATAACCTTGTGTCTTCATGAAGTGGATACAGAATAGATGACTTTGTACCGACCCACTTTTCTGCAATAGGCTTAAGGATAAGTGTATTTTCTCTAGACCTTTTGAAGTTATATCAAGATTTCGCATTTGTCAAACCTGGTATGGCCTAGTGTTTAGGGTTCTCTGTTCGCAATCTGTGGGTTTCGAGCTCGAATCCCAGTTACCCCAAACATGCTCGCGCTTTCAGCCGTGGGAGAGTTTTAATGTGACGGCTAATCCCACTTTCCGTAGGTAAAAGAGTAGCCCAAGAGTTGGCGGTGGGTGCGTTGACTAACCGCCTTCTGTCTAATATATCACAGATAACCCTCTAGTAGCTATGCACAAAATTCGAAACTCAAACAAACAATCAAATTTCTTAACTGTAAAACGGCCTTTCCCGCACAACAACGTATACTCTTATAAATTACTAACACCCATGGCAAGATTATAAAAGATAACAGAGTAGTTATCTCCGGGACGGAGACTGATGTTCCTAAGCAACCTCATCCCATTATTAGCTTTTCCATTGAACTTTATGGCATAGGAAACTGAAGGATAGTTTTTTTAACGTTGTTCTAGTTTAACGTTCGTGAACAAATAAAAATATTGATTTCCTACATCAAACTGGAGAACAGTCAGTAGCTGTTGGGTGCAATAAAGTTCACTGTAGAAATGTGACTGTAGAGAGTCACATTAGACTCGGGCTTGGCATGGCTAGGTGGTTAGGTGCTCTCGACTCGCAATCTGAGTGTCGCGGGTTCGAATCCCCCGTTATACCAACATGCTCGCCCTTTCAGCCGC